ACAAGTGATCATATCGCTTAGGACTTGGGCTGAGATGTAATAACATATTTTGAAATATTGGAATTATAGAATAAGTGAAAAATAAATGACTCTCGTGACAGGTGGCGTGCTAGCTAGCTTGTTAATCGAACTTCTGATGTTGCAGCATCCTTTCGGGTTGAATGATAACATAAAGGGATATGGAAACATACAACTGCAGAAAATCTTCTTAAGTACAAGTATACATTCTCTCATCTCGTTTGAGTTACAAAAATTGGTATTGGTAATTGGTACCAGATTCGTCTGGGAGGATAAAACACTGACTTGTACATCGGCTGGCCACCGCAAGTCATTGTATAGGCCACATCGCCACTACGATTCTGAATGGAAGTAGAATGCGTGCCGCATCCCACAAAGGGATTGATCAACGGCGAAGACTTTATCCTTTATCCTTTTTATCTATCTACTCTTTTTTCCTCTGTTTTTTCACTTTTTTCCTGCGCTTGAATAACACCACTCATACAGTACACTTTACGTTTATTCGGAGCTTTTTGGATACAATCAAATTTCTTTCCTGTTGTTCGTGTTTGTTACAAGCTCCGCGTATTATCGTTCATTCAGTTTTCTGTCCCACCATTTGTATCTTATGTACACCGTATGAAGAAACCCCAGAAAAAATTTCGCCAAAATTTTGGAGTTTCTGGCTTGTTTTGCATGGTATCGTAAAATGCTCCAACTCTAGTCTAGCAGCAAAGCAGCGCAACTTCTGAAGTACGCGCGAACATATAAAATCCAAGTGTCCGATCCAAAATCATGTCGTCTTCTCGTTTGGGAGGTCGAACCGGAGACTCCTCTAGGGAAGTGGGGTCGTATTCTGCAAAAATTTTACACAACGCAGTGGCGTGTCCTGGCTGCAGGAACTGTTTGACAAAACTAGAAAGTGACACAGCATGTCGAGTCCTCTAACAAGGAAACACTAGCTTGTTGGCTAGCGCCCCAAACCGTGTATTTCTCAGCACACACCACGGTAAGAATCACTTCAAAGGCTCCTAGCTGCGCCATCCGACACTCCAAGATGCAATTAAACTCACTATACAGTTGGTACCGAATAGAAGAACTTTTTCATTGCAATTTCATGAAACAGTCGCCCTTCAAAGAAAACTTCCATCAGAGCCGAGTGGTAGTCAAGTCATCGTACTCGGCACATAGTATCTGAAATGTCAGAACAAAATTTCCTTTGGTATAATTATTTGCTACAATTTCGAATATTCTATTGAATACGATCGAACATAATTTTGCGGCGGTGTTCGGACTAGAAGACATTTTGCACTTATACTGGTTCCCTTTTGCTAGTTTACGGTGACAGAGGCAAAGCATTTTGCTCATGGCTGAATTACCTTGTAACAGATGCAACTGAAACTCACTGAATATGAATAAGTGATGGACCCAAGCAGGAGATGAATTTGTTGCAGAATGCGTCGCTCATCACATGCGCGGTCCTGGGATTGAAACTTGTCGAGTTTTGTTGGTCTGCGCACTGCTATGGTCCCTTCGATGGTCTCGGATCTGCTTCTGCCATTTCGCTACGCGGCTGCTGCTCCTAATTCGCTAGTCTTGGCTCCCGCTTCTATCCATTGTTAATCCCTGCCCCTGTTTCCACTCTATCACTA